CCCCTCCACCCCCCTTGCCATCACCGCCATCCCCACCGCCGCCCCTGCCGCCGCCACCCTCTCCGCCGCCACCCATACCGCCGCCGCCCTCCCCCGATCCCCCCGCGCCGCCACCAGGCCCAACACCCCCAGCACCTCCCTCCCCCAACCCACCTAGTCCGGCCCCGCCTTGCTCCGCCTGCTTCATCATCTCCATCACGCCGCCCGCCAGCCTTGTGGGCCCGATGTTCACTTTCACAGACGCGATGTGCTCACAGCTCACATCCATCATATCGTCCTCCGTCACTGCCAACGCCACTGCCCTTGGCGCGGAAATCACCAGCCCGTTCATCTCCATCGCGTGCTCCAAGACGTACGACGGCTCTATTCGACCGCCCGTACTGCCGTTTGTCAAGGTGTGCGGCGCGTTCCGATCCGCAGAGAGCGGCGCGCGGCTGCAGGCCTTCCTGGAGGGACCCACGGGTCTTCGGTCCTGGGTTCAAATTCTCACTGGCGGCGAGCAGTGCTTCGCCACACTGACGGGTTACTACTTCCTAGGCGAGGTTGTGGACACGCTGGGTGGTGCGACGTGTTTGGTGAGCGAGTACGGCCAGGATTGCTTCCAGCCGCCGCCGCGTCCGCCGCCGTCGCCGCGGCCACCGGCACCGCGCCCGCCGTCGCCGCCGCTGGCGTGCGAGACCCTCGTCTCCGTTTCCCTCATGACGATGGACAACATCACGGCAGGGCTGCCGACTTTCAACGTGTCGCAATGTACGTCTATCGCGTTGCGGATTGGCAGTAGCTTCGCGGCGGCGGCGCCGACGTACGGCTCCGTTATCACGTCGGGCTTTACGCTGGCGTCGTGCAGCCCACTCAATGTGGTGCTGCGTGGATCGTTCCTGTCGTCCTTCGACGGGTCTCGAATGTCGGATTGGCTGTACGGCCCTACCGGAATGCAGGGCTGGATGCTGTCCATATTCGGGGCGCCGCTGTGTAACGGCCTGTCCACGTACTCTGTCTTTATGAACGTCGCCGGTGCGAATGGGGCGTCGTGCCTGACGGGCTCGTTATTGCAGGACTGCGCACCGGGCTTCGGACAGCCGTCACCGCCGCCACCCAAGCTCAAGAAGCGCACGCCGCCACCGGCACAGCCGCCGACGCTCATTCCGCAGCTACTGAGCTCGCCGTCGCCGCCGCCGCCAGCGTCGCCGCCGCTGCCGCCGCCGCCGTCACCGATGCCATCACCGGTGCCATCGCCTCCGCCATCACCACCGCCGTCACCAGCGCCGCCTTCGCCGGACTTCCCATTCATCGTTCAGACGCACATCTGCCGTACCGCTACGACTAACGTGCCTTACAGTGTCGGACCGCTGTACACGGCGTCGACAAAGGACCAGAACGGCGATGCAGCGGTGGCAATGTGCACGAACGTATTCCGGGAGACTTGCAGCACGGGAACTTGCTGGTGAGTCCATCAGATGGTATTTATAATCCTTGCCGTTCCTAATTTCTTGGCATGCGGTGAAATAGAATATGGTTTCCATGCGCTTCTAGACTATTTCATAGCATTCATGTACATAGCGAGTCTGTATATAGCGATTTGCAGATGCGTCCATGGTGAATCGAGCACAGAAGTGTACCGAATGGTTTAGTCGCTATTTTGCAATTTATTTATTAGGCTTCGTGGTCATCATGCTTTGCGGTTTGCTGCCTGCTGATGGAAAAAATATAACAAAATGGCGCTTGTGGTGCTTTCTGTTTTCCTCCCCTCTGCTGCTACAGCGGCATGGACTTTGCCAAAATCGAGGTGCCAGTGAGCAACGCTTGCAAGGCTGACTTGCGCCGTCTCACCATTAACGGAACGCCCTTCGCCTACACCTGGGGCCTGTACCCAGACAACCTGACGACCATCAAGTTCACCAGCCTTGTCACGTAAGTTCCTTAATGACCACGCTACGTATGGCGTTTATAGTTCCATGGAAAACTCTGGAACCATAGCTGCCAGTTTTATTGCTCAGCGGAAACTGTTCGGGGCCTAACTCAGCATGTGAGGTTTCCATTTCGTCTTTACCAGTTTTGACTGACAGCGGTTTTTATTATCGTTATCCGCAGGAATCTCCCGAACCCCGTTGGCGGAACGATGTGCTGGGTTGTGCGCTCTGGCAACTGCTCTACTCCCGCGAACTTCTGCCTCAACGGCCACTGTCAAGTGGCAATCTTTAGCAGCGACAACAACTGCTGCCCAACTGAGTACATCTCCTGAGGCCCTGTAGAGAATTGAAATGGTTTCGGTGCTTTGGGCGTGACTAATGCAGCAGAGGGCTGTGTGCATACATGGTGATGACCTAGAAAGCGTTATTTCTATTAGAAAATAGAGATTCTTCCATAGCATGATTAATTTATACCGCAAGCCAAGGCGCGCTGGGGTCGAAACTAGGTTGGAGCAGCTCTGGTTTTGCTTAGATTGGTGCCTACCTAGCGCATTTAGTTGTCCTTAGTTTGTTGCCTGGGACCTCTAGTGAAAAATCTAGTCGTCGGGCTGCCGAGCTCGCTAGTGCGGGCGGTCCACTGTTGGCCCGCTCTCCGTGCTAGGCACCATCATGGTGCACACGCTAGTGCGAGCAATAGAAGGCGGTCTAATTAATTGCCGTCTGCCGCTTTGTTTTGCCGCTCGATTAAAAGGGAGGTTATGTTTAGCTATGCTGGTGCGATCGTTTTGAGGTTCTGTTCTACGCGCGCACATATGCGCGCGTGCGCCGATTTGCGTGGGTTGGGCGCTTGCGGAGAAGAAGTTGCCATCGTCGTACTTGCATGCATGCTGTACGGCACCGTATGACACGACGGCAGAAAGTCTCCCTTCTCCTGCCGGAAAACTAATGTACTGGGAGGAGAAGAGATATGATGCGCCTAACGGTTGGAACGGCGGGGCGAGCGAGGCGCGGCGGCGGGGGGGGACGGGGAGGATTTCCTCCAGCAGCTGCCGTTAGCAGCAGCAGCATCGTAACATCATGCCCGATTCATGCCCGATTCATGAGGACGACCACCACCACCACCACTGCAATGTTTTTTTGTGAATGTGGCGCCCCGAACGAGAAAACGAGGGAAAAGCCCAATCGGGGGAGGGAGGGAGGAGAGCAGGGGGGGTGTTTGCGTGTGGATGTGTGTGTGTATGCTGGCGCCTGGTGCACCGATGGATGATGATGTTGTAGGCCCGCCAGCTCGTTCGTATTCCCGTACAAACCCTAAGAAACCCAACACCTGAAGGTAATGTAACCCTTGATCGGCCCCCGGATTCAGGTCTTCAAACGACTCCCCCTCTCTCTCTCTCTCTCTCTCTCTCTCTCTCTCTCTCTCAGGAATTAGTACACCGCAGGCATCCGAGAGCGGATCACGCAGGACATTATTAATGCCATAGCGGCCTGATTTATAAAATGAATTACCGTAAAACGTTTTTGACATTTAGGAAGCCACAATAAACAAACATCAGGGTGCAAGAGCAGTAGCAGTATAGAGCAGTAGCAGTATAGCAAGAGCAGTAGCAGTATATATATGTGCCCGGAACAGGCAGGGTTTCGCCGGGTAGCGGCCTATGTAATAACGATGACTATACGGGTGAAGTTATGCCCCCCTGTCCCCCTGTTCCACACATCATACAATTTTACCAAAAACTTGGTCTTCAGGTTGAATGGCGGCAATAAACATGTCCGCATATGCTCAAATAACCCCGGTTACACAGTAGCTGCTTTCTGTGTGAGAGCACCGAAAGTTCGTGATCCGGCGGTCCCGTGTGGAAGGGCCATCGCTCACTTAAAAATCCAGAGCCAACTTACACACGTGCATACATCGCGGTCTTTTACCCGGCCCCCGGCCCCCCACACGTCTACAGCTACCCCCTCAGTCAGTAGATTTGCCTGCCCTACATACATACATACATACATACATACATACATACATACATACATACATACATACATACATACATACATACATACATACATACATACATACATACATACATACATACATACATACATACATACATATGCACAGAAACACGAGGGTTTAGTTCGGACACACAAAAACGACGGTTTACTTTAAAAGCATTGTCGACATAGATGTACATATAGACATACAAACTTTCCATCATGCCTTCCCACAGCCAGCTTGCCTCCGTTGTACACATCATACAGCTCGTCCTTGTCGTACTCTCAAGCCACCCCACACGACCCTAAACGCCATCCTCTTCCAGTTCCCCATCCCCCTCGTCCTCATCCGCTTCACCCCCCTCTAATCGCCGTTTGCGGCTAGCGAGATTGCCGCCACCTGCCGCCGCCGCCGCCGCCGCCGTCAGCAGTCCCGGCATGGTCCTGGTCCTGCCACTGCCCGACGGGACTCCTCCGCCGGGAACACCTGCCGCCGCCGCCGCCGCCGCCGCCCTTCGTGCCAGAACCATCGCTGCCACGGCTCGCACGTACGGAAAGTCAACAGCCTTGAATCTGCAAGGTAGAAATAAATGTTGACATCAAATCATTATTGCCAGCTGTCGTTGTTTTCTCAGCCCATCTGGGCGCTATGGCGCTGTTTATAGCTGCTACTATATGATATAGCCAACCAGCTAGCCACGCACACACAGCCACCTACACACGCACACACACACACACACACACACACACGTATGGGCACCAGCGGCGGTGGCGGCCCCGGGTAATAACCGATGATATCCCGCGGCTGCCCACTGCTCTTTTCCAAAAGGCGGGAAAACAACAACACCCCGTATTGATAACGTATTGACCATCATTTGCATCATGCAACAGTAGCAACACAGCAGCAGCAGGTGCAACAAAGACAAGTACTGGGACAATAACGGTCGGCGGTTGGTAGACAGAAAGATAGACACACAGACAGACAGACAGACAGACGGACAGAAAGCAAAATCAAAACGCGAGAACAAGGACGCCAGGACACGTGCGTTTGTGACACGGCGCGCACTGTATCATGTCGTATACTAGATATGTAAATGTCGTATACCTGCCCCATTCGTGGGCCTTGCGCCAGGAGTCTGTTGGAAATGCGGGACCCGCCAAGCCGTGGAGGATTCGCGCCACTGCCACCGGGGTCAGGGACATCGACTGGTTGGTTGGGGTATTGTTAGGAGGGTGAGGGGGAGGGGGAGGTTCCGGGTTCGAATCCTGTCAGGGTCGAAAATCCTTCAGATGGTGGATGGTAAAAGTGCACCTAGTTGATGGACGGTGGTGACCTGGGATAAAGTTAACCCGCGAGCCGACCAGGAATGGAGTTGAGCCGCCGTTGATCCGGCAGATTCCGTTGGATGCTGGTGGTGGGTGCGGAACCTGAGCGATCCACTGAGAAGTTGACTAAGGTGAGACTGGATGAGGGTGCCCCGAAATGCAAATACCGGGGAAGGCAGACCCTGCCGCATGGTGAAGATATGACCCCCCCCCTGTCCCATACATCATACATACATACATACGGACACAGCATCAACCAAGCAAAATCAATCCGTACAGGAGCCGCCGCCTCAACTCAACCCAACCCAACTCAACTCACGCACCCACCCACCCACCATCGCAGCCGCCCGCGCCTTGGCCCCAGTCAAAAACGCCTCCACCTCCAACACCAGGTTCGAAGACCTAGGTGCCAGAGGAAGGGCCGGGCACCCGGGAGGGGAGCAGGGCAGCGAGGGAGGCGCCGCCGCCGCCGCCGCCCCGGCCGGTTGTACACCAGCTGTTGGTAGTTGGCAGTTAGGCGAGTCAAAGTACGATGTAATACGTGGCCGTAGAAAGGCCTCCTGCTCTTCACAGCTGGCCCCTAGATACATGTGCATGGGGGTGGGATGGGGGTGTATGTGTATGTGTGGGTGTACGGCACATCTTGGTGGGATTCGGGGAGAGTTGTATGTGAAGGTTACGAGCACCTCACGAGTCAAGGCTCCGTCACGCGAGTACTACTAAGCTTTAAAGATCGGGCTAAAACCTATTGTAGTAATTAATAAAATTGGCCGCACAGATGCAAGGGAAACTGGTGTTTTAGATGAAATTTTTGAGTTGTTCAAGTCATTGGATGCAACTAATGAGCAGCTCAAATTTCCTATTATTTATGCTTCTGGCAGAAACGGTTGGGCAGTTCGGAGCACTGAAACACGTAACAAGACTCCCCTCTCCATCCCCGGCCCGGCCTTATCCAGCTCTTGGGGTAAAAAGGGTTCACTTCTAAAGACACAGGAGACTCGGCCACCAGCAGGTGGCGAGAAGGAGTTCATGGCTTTGCTCATCCGTTAGCCCAACCACGAGTGGCGGTTGGGACGAGTAAATAAATAGTTCGTTGCGTCAGTTTTGTTGGTTGGGACCGGTATTCGGTATTCAGCTGCATCCTCTATGGATAGCATTCAAGTCCGACACAATTCACACGACCTAAAATCAGGTAATCTACACGCAAATATAATTTTCCAGCCAGCTCCGTACTGTACGACATCATGTGCAAGAAAAAATCCAAATTGAAACAAACCTTGCAGGAAAGCGCCAGCCATAAGGCCCCAAACCATATCCAGTCGCGCCGCCGCCGCCGCCGTCTGCGCCTCCAACCGCGCGTGAATCTGCGCCGCCAGCGCCGACACACCCGCCGCCGCCCAGCCGCCGTCACTTTTGCCCGCCGCCGCCCCCGGCGGCGGCGCCGGCCGCCGTATTAACTGCCAACTGAGAGCCTTCAACTTCTGTACGGGCTCGAAATGAACCTGTCCCAACGCTGCCAGTTGTGACAGCTGCCGTAACGCCTGCGAACCACCAATGCATTACAGATCAGATTCAAATTTCTAGATCTGAATTTCAAATCCATTGTGATGGCTGACAAGGTGCGGTACGACAACATCATTTGGCAATTCAAAAAGGGAGGGAGAGAATCCGTCTGTGTCTCTTCCTCCTTTCTCGCCCCTCCTCCTCCCCGACCAGGTAACGCGGTCCCCTACGCACACATACACACATACACACATACACACACACACACACTCACCCTGATCTCCCACCTCACCTGAGAAGAACTGATGCCACCTTCTCCTCCCCCTCCCCCCACACTCGCCGCCACCAGAGTCCCCATATCCACTTTGTAGCAGCCCCGGTGGACCCTCGGCGGGGGCCGGCAGTTCAACATCGCCGCCACCACCGGCCACCGCGCCGCCAGCGCCGCCGGAGGGGCCCGATGGAAATACACGTGAACACGGGCGGCGCAGCTGGGGAGAACGCTTACGTAGCCGCCGCCGCCGCCGCCACCGCCGCCACCGCCGCCACCGCCGTTGTCGTCCTGTTGAAGGTACGACATGATGGTCTCCATGACCTCCTCGCCAATGTCAAGTTCAGAAGCCGTCGTACTGAGCTGCAGTACACCAAAGCTGCTAGTGCTGCCGCCGCCGTTATGGTGGTGGTCTGGGTCATTGTGGTGCTTGTACGGCAGTTCTGGCGGCGATGGCGGCAGTAGCGGCTGTGGCGCAAAGACGCGGGTGAGGAAGGCTTCCACTGCCGACAGCTCGGTGCAACCGGAATATACCAGAGATCGATACCGCTGATAATCCTGCGCGTGTGTGTTTATGTGTGTGTGTGTGTTTGGATGAGGGGGGTCCGAGGGGGGTTTCAGGGGTTTAAGCGGGGGTGGGATGAAGGGGGGCCCCGAGGGGGGGTAATACCACAGTCCGGGGTAATGCCGGCCCCTTACTTCACAACACAACTCATATACATACATACAAACATACACACACGCGGGCGGCCCCCTACCTGGTCATCTAGAAACAGGTAGCACCGAGCCTCCCTCCCGTCGCGACCTGCTCGACCCGCCTTAGCAGCGGAGCAGGTAGGTCGTCAACACCGGAAGGGGGGAAGGGGGGAAGGGGGTAAGGGGGGTGGGGTGGGACGAAAGAGGAGCGCAATGCCAACAGAGTCAGGTGTTATATAGGCGAAATCGAAAGCAGACGACTAGCATCTCCGAGTATTTCCGTACTTTTTGCTTGAGAGTTTTTT